ATTAATTAAAATAAATATTAAATTTATTTTATATATTTTTAGATATTAAAAAATTAAAAAAATTATAATTGTCCTGTAAGGACAATCTAGTCTTCTTAAACTAAGCTATGAAATGGGAAAAGTATGTTTTTACAAGATATTCTCTAATTTAAATTTTTGAAAATAAGTATTAAATTAATAATTTTATTTATGTAAGCCATACATATTGATTTTGAGATAAATTAAGAAGGTTTAATCATTCATTGATTAAATAAAATTTAATACTATTTATCTAAGCCATACATATTAATTTTGAGATAAATTAAGAAGGTTTAATCATTCATTGATTAAATAAAATTTAATACTATTTAATATATTAATAAATAAAATTACTTTTATAAAAGGTCTATATATACAAGATTAATTTTAAAATTGACAACCGTAATATTTAATTTCTTATAAAGAATGCTACAGTATTTTAGAGTCTGCCCCGCCCATATTGTAGGTGAGAGTGAGATCCCCGCTTTTCTGTTTCTTTATTTCTTTTTCTTTTTTTTTTTTTCTTGTTTTTTCCTCCTTGAGCAGATTGCCAAATTTTTACTAGCATTGTCTCAAGATGCGCATTGGCAATACTTTTTGCGTCAAATATAGACAAACTTCTACTACATTATGACAATTTGATTGCTTTTACATTAATGAAGCTGCATAATGCATTCACAAGAGCTATTGTTATCTAGAAGGGGATGGAGGGCTGAATTTAAAGCTGAAGATAGCAGCACTTCATCTCTCAGTTCATTTTTCGCCTTGTGGAAATTGAGGGCAAGTCCTGGGACAAGTGGGTAGAAGAAGCACTTTCCAAGTTCGAAGCTTTGAAGTTGTTTTTTCCTCTTACACCCATTTACATCTCTAATCCAAAAATGAAATCCAATGAGGATGAGTACCTGGTGTTCGACAGAATGCGTCAGTGGGATCGGTCTTCGGTGGAAGTTTCAATCTTGGAACTCACTTATTACAAATGGGTTCATCCTAGTACCGGTACTTTTTCTATTTTTAAAATTTTCCTGGTCATTTTGGTTCTTTTCTTTCATCCCACATTAATGCTGACAAGTAACAACTGGGAAAAGGGCTGTAAGTGATCAGAATCCTTGCATTGGCTGGACTCATTCATTAAACTTAATATATGTGCGTCGGTCTAAGTTATGCTAAAGACTTCACTATTTTATCCAAGCATGTTATTGTAAACGAATCAAATTTAGGCTTGAAAGTAAGCTACTGTAGCTAAATAATCCGAGTTCGAATTTGTTATAATAAACTTGACCTTGATGTTCAAGTTTGTTTAGTTAAATAAGCTACTAGTTTAGTCGAGGCAACCAAAAAATAAAGAGCTATAAGTGAAACCTAAGGCCAAGGTACTCAACTAGGCTAGGCTCATTTACATGAAATGTTTAATGAATAAATGTGGATATTAGAAGTTCCACTTTTATGCCCCAGACATCTAGAATTATTGCCTCTTCTTGCTAATTCGTGTTGGTGCTCAACAACTTCATTTTACATTTTTAGGGACTCAATTTGGATTTCTTCTTTTACGGGCGTATGACTGATTTTTTCCTGAGCCAAAAGTCTAGTCAATACTAGTAAATTTCAATCTTTCAGTATGTAGGAGATGAATTATCTTTAGAGATGGAGAAGCCGATGGTAAATTTGACAACTTCCAACGGCCATTAAAGAAGCTACTTTCGTTTTCTGGAAATGATTATTTGGGCTTGACTTCGCATCCCGCAATTAAGAAAGCTGCTGTAGAGGTTTGAATTCATGATTGATTAAAATTTTTGACATAATTGGTAAATTTCTAGTTACATGGTAAGAAATCTCTTCAATTTTTTTTTTTTTGTTTTATTTATTTATTTTAAATCAGGCTGCTCAAGAACATGGAATGGGCCCTAGGGGTTCTCCTTTAATCTGTGGATAAACCAACTACCATAGTTTACTGGAATTGAGCTTGGCAAACTTAAAGAAGAAGGAGGTAGAAACCTTGCATTTGATGTTTTCCATTAAAATTTTCAATTCAGTCCAAGAAATCCCAAAATTCAATATTAGAGTAGTGAAAGGACTTTTTTTTTTGACATTGTATTCTTAGTAAGTTCAATACTTTTAATAAATTATGCCACTGTTTAAATAAATACAATATGATGTACCAGCGGTGCTCCAGCGGAAGAATATGAACTTCCAGGCTCCAGCCCTTTTCTGCTCACTTTTCCTCCTTTGAGAGGCTGGTACACCTAAGAACTAACAGAAGTGGTGCTCTGACTTTGAACCGAGGCCCACTATTTTCTTCATCTTCTTCCTTCTTTTTTTTTCTTTTTTCCTTCTTGTGTTGTTGTTGTTTAAATAAATTAATATTAATTCACTTGTAATTTTGATTAATCAAACAATTCAAAGGCTCAATTGACCAAAAAATAGTAGCAGAGCTTAATTATTGTTGATTGTAAAGAAGTTCAAGTATTATATTTGGGTTTTTCCAATGTAAATTGGATGAAACTCAAATCTGTTACTTGTTTTCTAGGCCTGTCATCTTATTATGAACTGTAAATCTGAAAACTGATGCATCATTGTTATCAACCTATCATTTTATTATGCTGCAGGATTGTCTTCTAACTTCTTTGTTCCACAGGGGATTCAGCCAATATGGCCATAGTGCTAACGCTTGGAAGCATTGCCTCTCTCTTGGCTGTGGGTGGCAAACCTTTGAAGTATGAAAAAGTTGCCATATTTTCTGATGCCCTTAATCATGCATCTATAATTGATGGTATTCATCTTGCTGACAGGCAAAGAAGCGCAGAACTCTTTGTATATAGACACTGTGACATCCCACCTCAATGCACTTTTGTAGGTTTCTCACTTTTCACTTTAATGTTCTGATTTCTGAGGAACCCTTTTCCATTTGGTCTGTTTTCCCAACCAATGCTCACTCCATGCCACTTTGTAAATGTTTTGACAGATCAAGTTGCAAATTGAAGAAAAACGTTGTTGTCGCAGATAGGTTAGTCCTGTTACCAGAACTGCTCTTTTTTCTTTGGCCAGCCTGGAACTGCTCCTTCCAATTCCACCTTTTTCATGCTTCATTATGTTTGAAAGGAAATAGATTGTACCAATGAGAAACAGGAAGGCAGGAAGGATAGTGACCCTTCTTCTTAAGGTATGGGAGCTTACAATAGATTTTATGACTTTTGTTTTCCAGGGCCTCCAAGAATCTGTATTGTTTATATTCTGATCTTTATGATTCATCTTCTTTCTACTATAACATGACAGACTTACTTCTACCAGTTGTTTTTGAAAAACAGCAAAAGGTGGAAGCAGCTCATTCAATCAAGGGGTTGTTCTTTTATATTTTCAACTGCTTCACCAGTTCCTATTGCTGCTTCTGCACATGGTAAAGTTCAGTTTCATTACCTTGAAAGTGATTGCTTCTTGTTCTTTTTTCTTCCCTTGTTCTTACTTTTGTCTAGCATCAAACCTAAAACCGAGTATTAATAAATGCAGGGGCCCAAGTAATTAATAAGTCCATATGTATGTTATCCCAGAGTTAATCAATGCAGGATTTCTCAGTTTCTCCACTGAACTTTCATATAGTTTTGTATGTGAGATATAAAAGTTGATATTGGATGTTTACTCTATACAGCACACCATAAATGTACAAGAATGCTGACAACATTGACATTGTGGATATGGTAGAAATGCAAATAATTTCTGAAGCTTGGTTATGGAAAATCTGTGGCATAATGGTGATCATACCCTTGGCTGATGAGTGATCAATAAGACTAGAATGTCAAAAAGTGACTGTTATTTTGCCTTGTATCCTTGTGTAATTGTAGGCCTCCTGCCTTGATAAATGTTTTCCTTTTGTTGTTAACAATATAAACATAACTTAGCAGCTTCTGTTATTGTGGCAAAGAGAGAAACATGGCGCAGAAAGGCGATTTGGGATTCGAGTGCAAGAATTTGAGTGTAAAGTGCGATATGTTGACAATATTCTTAAAATATGTTATGATAGTAGTTTTTATTTGGGTTTTTCGTGAAGCTGGTGGTTTTGTGAGAGGACATTTCAAGCTAATCTTCTTTCAAACATAAATAAAAGATTTTAATTTTGAGTTATATAATACGTACAACTCAAGATTAAAAAAAAAAAAAAATTATTGTGCAACTTTTAATTTGAAAATGACAATAGTTAAATAATTTAAATAAATCAATAATAATTTTTTTTTATAAAAATAAAAGATTTTAATATGAAATCTCATAATATTGAAGATGTAAAATTATAAATAATTAAGATAAGATTGGGATGAATAAAAACAAAAACTTCAAGATGAAGCTTTCTCATGCTTCAATTTTGCACGTGCATTTTCTGCAAGATGGAAGTGCACATCAGATATTCTAACAAAGATTTGTCCATCCAATTTTCTTTGATGTAGATTCAAGAATGTTAGGTGGAAGCAAGAACTAAAAGTTGGTGAGATGACCTTTTTTGACTAGGAACATAAATATCCTTTTATTAACGGGCAATATCCTTTCATACTCGGCAATAACAGCATCAACTTAATTACTTCCCAAAATAAGTTTTAATTAATTTCCTCCTGCAAACCTTGAAATTTATTATCCTACACGTTTGCCTTCGATACCCGACCGGAAGCAACTCGTTGATCAATCAAAATATCAACGTTCTCGGTAGAAACCTTGACATCAGTACTGTCGAGTTCAACAAGTTGGCTCAAGTTTATAGGCCAAGTAACATTTGTTGTTCCATTCCATAACAGCTCAGTTAACTGAATGTTGGCTGCTTCGGTAGGATGACCGCCATCGAAAAACACATATTCATTAGGATTACTGCACAGTTCATATGCTACTGTCAGGTAGCCACAACCGTCGCCTCGGTGAGTACCGCTGCCACAGCATGCAATATCCCCTTCCTTGAAACCTTCAAAACATGATACAAAACAAAATGTTACATAAAAACAAAATCAGTGAAATAACACAATGAAAATTATTATTCCATCATAGCTATAAACACACCGTATTTTGTTGGGTTCTCTGTTCTTTCCATTACTGTAGTGAAGTAATCATATATTAAATATTTGAATCCTGGTAGTTCGCTAGCTAACTCCTCAGCAACAGTATTTAGAACGTCATTATGCATAGATGCTAAAGTTTGTAGCAGTTCCACACAACCAGTAGTGTTGTATGACTGTTTATTTTCTGGCTGGCAACCCAGTGGTCCAACATTTTGGAATGCAAATTTCCTTCCACCCAATGCATAAATATCCTGTGTAAATTAGAAGGAAACTCCATGAAGAATTAAGAAAAAGAGTAGACGTTGCACCGTTTTTTTTTTTTTTTTTGAAAAGTTAAATACCTTCACTGCGTTTGTTATGTTGCCAATGACAATTTTTACGTAAGCTTCCATCTCAGCTTCAGTAGGATCAGAGGTAGAATTTGAGAAGGCCATGTAATCAACTCCTCCTAAGCTACTTAGGTAGATGGCTCCCTTCAATAACTCACTTGCATTTTCATCTCCCAGCTCCTCCTTCAACAAACTTGCTACCTTCTTCATGTAGAATACTTGTAGTTCAAGGTTGATCTAGGGAAAATTCAAACCAAATATGAACCTAATTAATCCATAAATTCAAGTAACTTCGTAAAATTATTACAACGAAATACACATCCAAAAGTCACTGAGAGGTCCCACAACTAAATATTTGGTTAAAGTGTTATGTTTTAAATACCAACTTTGAATGGTAGCTGAAATCTATTGTTGGATCATGAATTTGACTACCCTACAAAATTACAATATTACTAATTCATTTCTTAATTTAAGAGAGAGATCAAACACCGTATATGGATTAGTTTCAACAAGCACGGCTCCACCAGCACTGCCAAAGTTTGCTCCAACAACAAAGTTATGATTATCTGGGTCTAAGTATGGTCTCCAGTAAGGTAAACCTACATATGCGGCTACAAGAGAAGACAGAACTCGGTGAGCATTTGACATCAAACTAAATTTGCTACAATTAATTGACAAGAATGAAGTTGGATAGCTCACCGGCGAAATCGGGAAGTATTCGACCATCACAAACTCTTCCAGTTGGGTACCTGAAAAAGGTCTCCCCATAAGGAGGGAAATTAGCCTTGCCCCCAATGCTGGTGTCGATGTAGTTGTTATTCCCAGGATCAAAGACTGAATCTCCAAATACAAACATTGCAACATTTTTGTTAGACCGCACCTCCAATCTACCCAATCGAGCTGTGGTGAGAGCAATCGGAATAGAAAAGAAAAGGAGAAGATGAAATTGACTTGTTAAATTTGACATGGTTGATTTTGAGGGGCAGGCACTGGACAGTGAGCCCATTTTATATGCCTCATCTACCGTTACTTGGGTGCACAGACTTGCAACGTTATTGAGACGCGGAAATAAGTATATTATAATTAGGTGATAAAAGAGAAGAAGGGTATATTTATATATAAGTTTTATATATTATATTTATATAAAATTTTAATTATTTAATTTTTTTACTTTTAATAATTAAAGTTTATTATGATTTTTTAAATAAAAATAATAATAATTTTTAATAAATATAAATAAATCTTAATTATTGATAATAAAACAATAAATATTTAAAATTTTATATAAATATAATATATAAAATTTGTATATAAATAAATTTTTATTTAATAAAAAAAAATTATAATCAAGTAAAGTTGACCACAAGACGATTAAAACTGTCAAGAATATCTGTATCTTGTCGTTGATATCTATTATAGTTGGGACCTTCCAGTCATCTGTTTACTTCGATTTCCACGTGCTAACGAAGCAACCAACCCATGGGGTAGACACTGGCGTGACAAGCCTAATACATATGTTTTAGATGTTATCTTAAAATCGAAAGGCTAAATTAATTATTGATTATCAGATTGATAAATTTTTATATCTTAATGGACATGAGAAAACCACCACTCATGTGTAGACGTAGACTAAACATTCTTTTACTTTAATAGGTTCGAGTGTTATCTTTTTTGTAAATTGTTGTCTAACTTTTGTCCTTTTTGAGAGAATAAATAAAAATAGGTAGAATATTTATGACCAGAAAACATTATTCAGAATTGAGTACATAACAAGTTGTATTTTTTTATATATATATATAAAAAAATGAATTAGATTAAACTATTCTGAACTTTTCTTTTCTCATATTCCTCTCTGCACAGTTGATTTCTTCTCTACCCTTTATTTCTCTTCTTTAATCTTTAAAAAAAAAACCTGATGCAGTGGTGCGCTTCAATCTGTAGGTAGTCACATGTCACTTATGTCTGTTGTGATTTTGAATTTACAACTTTTAACATTCCATTCATCAACTACGCAAACCTAAGAGCCCCACGTTCCACCTTAGTGATTTAGATCTTGGATTAGTGGGGATTACTTTCCGTAAGTTATATGTTTGAATTTCATGCATCTCCTTTTTTCCATTCTCATTTACTTAAATATGTACTAATTTAATTTTGCTAAAAAAGAAAAAAAGAAAAAAAAAAAACCACTACGCAAACCTAACAACCAGCTCCTTTGTACCAATCAATTCGTCTCCCTGCAAAGTAGAGGCACTTAACCTTGCAGGAAAAAAAAACTGAAAAAAGAGAGAGAGAGAGAAATGAAGAAAGAAAGAAAGAAGCAAGGTTACGGTATAATGGTGTGAAACTAAGAAGTAATAGTATTATCTAATCCGATTATTGATAATTAATATTATTAACAATTTAAACACTTTTATTTATTAAATTATGTAAAATTATTAATTGTTAATTTTAAACCATTATACAAACAGCTCATTAACCTTGCAGGAAAAAAAAAAGGGGAAAAAGAAAAAGGAGAGAGATAAAGAAAGGAAGAGAAAAGCAAGCTTGTGGTTGACTGACTGGTTTGAATGAACAGAGCATGCCGTTTTCTATCTACTTTGTGAAGAGTTTTCAGTTATAGAAGTTCAGTTGGGTATTTGCAGTCAACCTTTGGCCTTTGTGAATTTGTGTTTGGTATTTAAAATATTTGCTGTCAAAAAAAATATTAATCACAAGATTTGCTGTGCTCCTAGCCCCATATACAATCTCCTATAGATACACTGGTTTTGCCCTGTTAAGCAATGTTTTAAGAACCGGAGCTTGAGCCGTTTTAGGCATTGAGTTTGGTTTAATTGATTAAATTGGTTCAACTATTTAATTCAACCGAACATAAAAAAAAAATGATATTTTTAAATTTTTAAAAAGTAAAAGATAAGATTTGATTTTAAAACATATACTAAATTCTGTAAATAGTAAATCACTAAACTTAATAGTCTTTTTATTGCTAATATTTCAATTTTTTAATTTATTCATAATTAAAAATCAAATATAATAATTAGTAATTTTATAAAAGTTAAATAAAAATTTTAATTTAAATCTTTTAACATCAAACCATTTTTATAAAAAAAATAAAAACAAAAGGAAAGAACAATATCATTAAATCAAATTCATTTAATGTTTAAACACTTAAAATTTTAAATCTTATCAAACACATTGTCATTATTATTTATGATTTTATTAAATAAAAAATTTTAAATATTAGAAATAAAAGCTTAATTTAATTTAATAATATGATTTATAATTTGAGTTTAAAGGTAATTATTTTAATTTTGTTATTTTATTTTTAAAATTAACTAATTTATATATTTTATTTTA